GCAAGGCTCATGATTTCAATTTTCTTTACAAGGCAATAATATTTCATAGTGTAAGTGTACGGCATTTTTACTAAGTGTTAAGTTCACAGACATTTATGAACGTTTTCAAGTTGTAGCTCTTGTGCATGGAGCAGAAATGAATATGGCTCAACAAATACCTGTGCAGAAAGATGCTGAGAATATGCCAAGGAATGGAATGGCTGGGTTGACTTGCTGCATTTATATAAGTTGAGGATTTGTTTGTTTGACAATTGTCCAATTGCCTTGATTATGGTCCTGGCAGTTTTATTCACTATGCTTTTGTTTGTGATGTTGTTGTTGTTTGGATTATCGGCAGTAGGTTTACTACTTATGTGTGGGAATTATTGGTTTGCTCTCTTGCCCATGGATGGTTAGTTCCCATTTCTCATGAATTTACTATTATTCATATGAAATGTATTTTTTCCCATATTCTCATGGATAACCCCCCCCAATCTCCTTATAATTTTTGCCTCCAATTATTGTCTGCCAAGCCAATTAGTGAAATGAATTATATTAACGAAGTCTCCATTAATTTTAAGATAGATCTTTTCTGGATGTAACGATGAGGTTGTTGATACTGGTTTTCTCTTCAAGCTTTAAATGTCTTTCAAAACTCTGTGAACTTTGGATCATTGTCTGGATACCTGGTATTTTGGTTGCTTGCAACTTTTCAGATGATTGATATTTTCTCTAACAGGTTTCAGTATTAATTTTCTGTTTTTCTTCTTCACCCCTTACTAGAAAAGACAACAGGCCACCTACCTAGTCATTGTTCCTGAAAGAGAAACTCAAAGAAGATAAACAGACAGAAATGGCTGTTTCTCCAGTAACCATGTCCCAGGTCAGTGGACATATACACCTTTCTCAATATAATATATGTTCAGACAGTGGAAGTCCTTACCATTTGCTGCTAGTAGAACTTTAATTTTTTTATGAAAATTGTTTCAAACAAGCAGACGTCAATGACAAAAAAAATCCCACACTGAAATTAACCAGATGCAAACTATACAAATCAATGTGGTTGTATGTAGTTTGAGTAGTTTTTTTGGAGCAGGTACACTGGAGTGATACAAAAGGCATTTTATGTTTTGGTTATTGAATATGTATTTATCAAGTTATCCATCAGAAAAAAAAGAAAAATAACTGTGGTAGAATTAGAGTTAGGAAAGCACTTAGATATATATCATGTTTGTAATCTGGTGTGCATTCCCTGTATTCAGTCCCACCTCAACCTTGATATTCAAACTTTCTTGTTCACTTTCCTCCAACGCCTGCTGTGCCCACATGCAAATTGTTTCTCATATAGTCATGTTATTGGCTAGTTTCTGCAAATGAGGGAAAATGTGATTTCTGCTTTCTGACATTGTACTCACTTACTATTACACATTCTAAATCCAACCATTTTACTGAAGTTTTAATGACATTTCCTCTCCCATGAATGGTTTTCCATTTTATATGTATAGCATTTTAATAGAATTGTGTTGATTCTCATACTTTGTTATGGTGAATGCAGTGAATTAGGGGTACAAAGATGGTGAGTATTGGGATTTGGGATTCTCTGGTTATGTTCTCAGGGGTGACATTGGTGGGTCATAGATTCTCTCTTAGATTTACTCAATAATTTCCAAACTGATTCCCACAATGACAGTATGAGTTTACACTCCCCTGCATACGCCAGCAGTGAATGGGTGTTCCTCTAATTCTCCCTAATATTAGTTTTCTGGATGGTTGAAGACAGCCATATTTCAAATCATTTTTTCTTTTTTTGTGTTTCCATGAAGGCATTTTAGGGATCCTGAACACTTATGCAATATTTGTTGGCCATTGATATATTATTCTTTAAAAATTCATTTGCCCCTTTATTGTTTGGCAGTTTTAGTTCTTCGCTATTTAATTTCTCTAGTTCTTGGTAAATTCTAGGTATGAGTCCCTTTCTGAAGTGTCCCTGGTAGAGTCTGTCCTGTCAGTTGTCTGTCCATGTGTACTGCTGATTGTTTCCATACAGAACCTTTGAGTATTCATGTAGTCCCTTATGTTCTGTTCCTGTGCTGTTATTTTCTCTAATAAGTAAGTATTAGTCCATCCCAATATCCTGGTGGGTATTCTCTCTGTTTTCTAGAGTTATATTTGTTTCTGGCTTTAAATAAGGTTTTTCATCTGTTTTGAATGAATTTGTTCCAATGAAAGAAAGATAAGAATGTAATTACATTCACCTGCGAGATCCAGATGCTGGGAATTAAAGGCCTGTGCCACCAGACCCAGGTTCTCCGTTTCTTTAAGGATTTTATCCTTTTTCTTTTCTCTCCCAAGCCTACGTGTACCTTTAAACACACCATAAACCATTTAGAGGATTTTCATTTTCCATCTGAATCTGTCTTTACTGTATATCTCTATCTTTTCCTGGACACGGTCTTTTCTCTCGGAAACGACATTGCTAAAATTAAAGCAGACATTTTAGCTGCTGGCTTTGCACGTGGCAGGGTACATTTACTGGCTGCTCTGCGAGCTCTGCTCAAAGCCTCAGTTTAGGCAGCCATCCCCAAGCATACTGTTGGCTGCTCATAAACACCATTTAATTCACCATTTAATTGTTTGGTAGCAGGGCCTCTTTAAAAAGTCCTGCGCTTTTTGCCTCTAATGCCGAGCCAGTATGCGCCTCCTTTTAAGTTTTAGTCTCTGTGTGGGTGCCATTTGAAGAATAGGGTTTCTATCCTTTTTAAGCTTTTCTCTCTTAATTAGGAACCAGTAAGTATGAATGTATGTATTTTTGCATGGTCTTGGCTTATCAGAGAATGCCCGGATCTATTACTTCTTTGGTGGCTACAAGGGGTTTCTTCCAGTTCTCCCTGCCTCTTTCCTCAGGATTCCCCTCCTCTCCTGTCTCTACTGGCCAAACAGTGTTTTATTCATCAGCAATAAGAGAAACATGTATACAGAAGAACATCCCCCATCAAGTGATGATAGATCCATGTATTTGATAACACCTGCTATCTGTTTATCTAAGGGCATGTCATGTTCACACCACTCACTTCTTTAGGATGCTCAATTGCAACTTCCCAAACTCTAGAGATTACTGTTTGGCCTTTGTTTGTTTGGTTTGTTTTTCAAGAAAATCTTCCTGTGTATTCCTGGTGCTCCCACAAGTAGCATGTAAGCCAGGCTGACCTCAGACTCACAGAGATCCACAAGTCTCTGTCCCCCTAGTGCTGGGATTAATGGCATGTGCCACTATAGCAGGCCATAGATTCGTATTTTTATTTGTCTTTTTGTTTCTGCTCTAAATAGAATTCCACTCTGCAGGCTTTCATGTTCGGGATTCATTATGTACCATTTTGTAGCATGTATCAAGAATAATGTCTTGAGGGTATTGATTGATTGATGTGCAGAAGCCATGGTTTTGATGCAGAAAGAACATTCCTCATGATTGCTTTGTCCTGGTCAATTTCTGTGAGAGTCATGGTTCTACTTGCCTGCCATGAAGCTGCAGTGCTTTAAGTGGAGACTTGGTGAATGCCCTCTGACCTACAGGTTTGCATTTATTCCTTCCTCATGGCTCAGACAGAATATGTAACTACTGTGCACTTCCACAGAAATAAAGAATCATAAACACCACTAGCATTAAATATGTTAGACAATACAGCATAAGTACAAAAAGAGAACACATTGACAACTACAGAATTCAGGTTCAAAAAACGAAAAAGTCCGAATTTCCTCCTGAGCTGTTCTTCTGAGCTGCATTACATCTGACAAAGTGATAATATTTCTCACATAATGTCATATATTCTCTTACTGACATTACATCACTTCTGAATGCATCCACATTAGTAATTATGCATACTTGCTTAAATACAACTTAAACATCCTAGCATGTATTTTTGGACATCATAGTTGTATTTCTTTTGTTCCCACGAATGGCACTGAGACATAAGGTCAGTTATGAAAGGTTAGCCTTTAGCACAGGCTGGTTTCAAACTACCTCTTATAACTCCAACTTACCTGTTTCTATTAATCTATGTTGTGTAACCTTGCTTTGTACCTGTACTTCTTTGCTTACAATTTGCTCTTTGTTTCTCTCTACACCAAATTCTTTCTGAGTTCTCTCTTTCTGTGAAACTCCAGCTTAGTTAATGGTCACATAGCTCTTTATTAAACCAATCAGGTGCCTTAGGCAGGTGAGGGAAAACATAGACACATGTTCACACAATGTAAACAATTATCCTGTAACGGGTCTGCCCTCAATATATATAACTCTACAAAAAGGAAATATTCTTCAAAATACCTCACATTGTTATTTAGCCTAACTTGCCATATTGCTATTTTCTAGGTAAATTTTAGAGTGTGTCAAATGTGCTTGGTAGTAGCTCAAAAATACTTGTAAAAGTGATCACATAGACAACCTGTTCTTATGTGTTAATGTTTAAAACAACACCATGCAGTGCTATTATTACACACATAGTTACTGTGGAAAAAAGATTATTAACCTGTGAACTCAACCATGAATTATACTTTTCAAGTGTACCACTTTTCTATGTAATGGAAGGCAAGAGACCAAAGATTCAAATATACAAACTGAGCATGTTGGAATAGAAACATTAATCTCAAAAAATACACAGAATTGATTGCAGTCACTGTATTACCATCATCTACAAGTACAGAATTTAAGGCACATTTCCTCATTGTAAGTATTTTTTCTTAGACATGCGCATGCTGATTCTGCAGTACATAAGCACAGCAGCCATAACAGATACATAAGCATGTTCAGACATAAAAGTGTGTCTTGTTTGGTGGATATTGCTAGTACATCTGTTGTGTCCTACTGTTTTTTGCAGAGTTAAATCATCCATTATACAATGTGACTATATTAAAATCGTCTGTATGAGTAGCTGTCTTCATGTACATCCCTAATTTCCTCAAGTCTGCTTACATGTAGGAAAGCACTCTATCTGGTAACACATGGTCAAACATGTCCTTTGCTTCAGGGTGCCTTGAAATTCAAGGACGTGTCTGTGGACTTCTCCAGAGAGGAGTGGCAGTGCCTGGACTCTGCTCAGAGGGCTTTGTACATTGATGTGATGTTGGAGAATTACAACAACCTGGCCTCTGTGGGTAAGAGCATTTGTCTTGTAGAATTGCTAAGTAATCCATTGTATGTATTAGCATTGTTGTTTGTAAACTCTCTGTTAATTTGCCTTAGAAGCCGCAAGAATCCATGGAATGTTTCGTATAAGAAAAGAACATTTTCATGGTATTCGTTTTTTTTTTTTCATTTTTCCATGTAAAATTGTCAACCATGCCTCATTTTGATTCCACAATGCAATCAGAAAATTAGTATCATATATATTTATACCCATATATTAAAGCCTGGAAACTATATGTAACCAACATGATACACTTCTGAGGAGTATCTGAAGATGTGCACACTTTGCACAAATTTGTTGAAGATTCTGACAGGAATCCGCAACTGGGAAACATTCCTACATCCCTCTGCTTGGTGTTCTTTTCAGGTGCTTAATACAGCACCTTGTTATCTGTCTGTATTCTTACTCTAAATTACACATGCGTCATGGGCTACTTCAGAGAACATGTGGACTATTATATGCAAGGTGGTCCTGGTAACCTCTTGGGTGCAAATGAAATTCCCCTGGATTGTAGAGAGGGGAGAATGCACAGTGGGTTTGTGAATGAGAAAGGCAGCAGTGATAGCTTCTGGTAAAAGAGAAAGGAAAAGCTGAGAATGTTTTTGCCATATTCCACTACACTTGAAAGGATTCTTGGCAATGTAATATAGCATAGCTTCTTGGTGCAAGGATGCATCCTGTCTGTTGTTGCTACTACAGCCCGAGCCTATTACACCTGAATTAGGATGAAAATACTAGGACAAGATGGAAATGGAATTGATGTTCTTGACATCAGATTGGAATAATTTTACAAATCATAAGCCCAATGTGGGTGCAGGAAATAGGTTTATTCTTTAATGGCCTTCCTTGATGTCTGTCTCTATAATGATACTCCCTTATCTTCTTAGTAGAAGATAGACAGGCATCAATCTGGAAAATACTCTCAGGAGCTAGTGTAAAGATTAGAGTCAAATAACTCTGTGAAGAAAGTTAACATGCACCATGTGGAGCTCAGACAAGGGGGAATAGGAATAACCAATAGCTGCCCATGTCAGCCCTGTGTCAAGTGATCTGAGTCCCTGATATCTGGCAGATTACTGTGTCTCCCTCTGCTACTTTTGAAGAATCTAATGCATTTTTCTGGAGAGAAAAATAAACCCTGTGATACTTTTAAGTAAGACTTTAATCTTTTAAGGAATTTGGTCTTGTGAACGCTACACTTCATTTCCTGTAACTTCATAAATACAAGTACCGTGAACCGGGGATTGAACTGCACTCTTCTTCATAAGAGTCCGAGGAATTATTTAAACATGGACACATGTATTCTAAATGTAATGAGTCAATGAGCACATCCCACAGAACTTGTTTCTTCCTCACTTTCCTGATGCATCTGGTGTCATTGCACATTTTCAATAAGGTTAATGTATCTGTTATGATTCACTAACGCTGAAGACTGTCAGTCTGATTTCATGATAACACAATCAATTAAGTTTAAGGAAAATATCTAAGTGGCTGCTGGTTGACTTTTTTTAAATGGGAGAACAAAAATAGATAGATGTCATTTATTAGATGTTTTAATTTGGGACATTCCCTTCTAATATGACCTTACTCACTTTCCAGAAAATTATTACATATGTGATTCTGTCTATCAACGAGTGAAGACTGAAAAGGAGTGTTGTCAGTGTAATGCTTTTGGCAAAATTCTTCATGACCCCTCCACATGTGCACTTTATAGAACAAGTGAAAATACAGAAAACTCTAATAACTACAGATGCAATAACCACAGGTTTGCCTCTCTTGACTCATCAAACCCAGATAGAGAGGAAACCATGCACACTGGAGATGAACCTTGCAATTCTAAAGTCTGTGAGAAATCCTTAAATTTGTGTTCCAGCATTACTCAAGTTCAGGGGCTCTACGCTGCAAAGAAACAGTATACCCAGGGAGAATGTGATGAATGCCTTGACACTACAAATAATCTTTTGCAACAACCAAACTACATTAGAGAGAAACGATACCAGTGTGGGAAATGCAGGAAATCCTTCAGTACTGCCTCATATCTCACTTTTCATCAGAGATTTCACACAGGAGAGAAGCCTTACTCATGTAAATACTGTGTCAAATCCTTTACTTGGAAGTCAAATCTTACAAAACATGAGAGAATTCACACTGGAGAGAAGCCTTACACATGTAAGGGCTGCAACAAATCTTTTCGTGTGAGCACACATCTTAAACGGCATAAAAGAATTCATGCAGGAGAGAAGCCCTACAAATGTAAGTACTGTGACAAATCCTTTACTTCGTTGCCAAATGTTACAGTGCATCAGAGAATACATACAGGAGAGAAGCCTTACACATGTAAGGACTGTGACAAATCCTTTGCTGTGAATGCAAAACTTAAAGAGCATCAAAGAATTCATACAGGAGAAAAGCCTTACAAATGTAAGTACTGTAACAGATGCTTTGCTGCAAGGACAACTCTTATAGATCATCAAAGAATTCACACAGGAGAAAAGCCTTACACATGTAATTACTGTGATAAATCCTTTACTGTGAAGTCAACTCTTACAGCACATCAGAGAATCCATACTGGAGAGAAGCCTTACAAATGCCAAGACTGTGGGAAATCATTTACAACACGCACACGTCTTAGAGTACATCAGGAAATTCATACTGCAGAGAAGTCTTATACATGTAGGGATTGTGGCAAATCTTTTCCTGCATGGTCATATCTTGGGACACATAAGAAAATCCATACAGGAGAGAAGCCTTACAAATGCCAGGAATGTGGCAAATCATTTGCAATACGCAAATATCTTAGAGAACATCAGAAAATTCATACTGTTGAGAAATCTTATATATGTGAGGAATGTGGCAAATCTTTTGCTCTATGCTCTTATCTTACAAGGCATCAGAGAATCCATACGGGAGAGAAACCTTACAAATGTGGAAAATGTGACATGGCCTTTGTCCAGAGTTCAAGTCTTAGAAGACATCAGAGAGTCCATACTGGAAAAATCATTAAAAAATTGTCTGTGATGTAACAAGTCCTCTGCCTACATAAAAAAAATCTTAGAACACTTCAGAGGGTTCACACTACAGAGATGTATTACAGATGTTAGGAATGTAAGAAGAATTTTGGTAGCTGCTCATATCTTAGAGCACATCAGAAAAGACATATCACAGAGAAACTTTGATGGGAGATGTCACTCTGTATATGTTTCTCATACTGGTTACTGAATAAAGCACTGTTGGCCAATAGGAAAGGAAGATAGGAGGGACTAGGAGACAAGGAGGAAAGAGGAAGTAGTAAGGAGGAGCCAAGATGGAGAGTCTGGAGAGAGCAGTACACGGCAGCTGGCTCCGGGTAAAAAAGACTATGTGGAAATACATAGATTAACACAAATGGGTTAATACTTAAGACAGAGCTAGCCAATAAGAAAGTAGTAACTGGCCAACAGTATAATATCAAATACAGAGTCTCTGTGCGTTATTTGGGACTGGCGTGGCGTCGGGACAAGACCAGCGGCAGGCAGAAAAACCATACTCGTTACAAAACTTCACAAAGTTAAGACCAGCATCTCTTATATCCACTTCTCATATCTTAGAAGACATCATAGATTTTATCCTGCACAGACACCATTGTAAATCATGTGACACAGCATTTACATGGTACATAATGGAGATGTAAATATAAGGTACTTTTGAAAGACTTTGTAAGTTTTAAAACTTATGAAAAACACATAGTTAACATTGAAATAAAATTCTGCAAAAGTAACTGTGTGAATTATTTTTTAATGTATGTGAGGTGTCTAGTCTACAGGAATTTCTATGCATCTGTTTGTTTGATGACTATGGAGGCCAGAAGGGAACATCATATTCTCTGAAATTTTGCTTAACAACAGTAGTGAGTTATGTATCTCTTTCAATATCTAAACATTGAGAATAATGCCTTGCAAGGTGGTACATGCCTTCAATCCCAGCACTCTGTAGGCAGAGTCGAAAAGATCTCTGTGAGTCTGAGGCCATCACGGTTTATATAGTCAGTTCTAGGACTGTCAGAACATCATAGACACTGTCAACAATCATAATGATAATAATAATGACAAAATATAGTAACTTAAATATGTGGTGCTGTACACCATACAATTCATATTTCCAAGAAACCACATAAATTTATATCATATATAAAACCTATGTGTTATTGTCCAATAGAAATTACAACCACCAAACACATTGATTTGACAAATCCTTTACCTAGGGTTCAAATTGCTAATGAAAGTTCATCCTACCAAAAACCAAACACAAATATTTCTCATTGTTTGTTTAGTTTCAAAACTTCATATTAGAATTAAATTCTACCAACAATCAAACACACAAAAACTGTTCCCATAATTTCTCATTTTTTGCTCACTCTCAAAACTTCATTTTAGAATGAGAGAAGCTGTCCATGATGGTGCAGGCATTTCTGATGGGAATGGTGAAAGTCTTGCATCTAGCCCAGCATCTTGACCAAGATCCAGCAAAGCTGAGTTCATGATGCTCACCACCTGACTTTGGCTTTGGTCTCCACATCTTTGGTGCTTGGGGTGCTTCTTATGTGTACATCATGGGGATATTGGATTGATGGAATTTTGAAGGAATCATTTATGACTTCTAGGAGTACTGCTTCTAAACTTCCCCACAAAGATTATGTGCATACTACCTCTTTGATTTTTAGGGAGATATCCTCATCTAACTTCAAGGTCTTCCTTATGCCTTCCAAGAGGCTATGCACAAAAAGAAGCCAGAGGTCTCTTGTTGAGGCTCTGAGATATTCTTGAAACATCCATGCCTGTACTTACTCAAGAATAAGATATTCAGAACCAAGTGCAAGTCTTTTTACAATACGTTCAGGCGATTATGGGGCACACCAAGTAACAATGTTAAATGGCCAGAGTTAACCTCTGCCCTACACAGGGACTCATGTTGATGGGAAAAGAATATTGGGGAAATTGATCAATGAATGAAGTGTCAGGACCTTCAGTTCTTAGAAAAGTTAGCTTGTGCGGGGCAACTGTTGTGTCCCATGACCATGGAATAAAACTGCCAGGATTAGACATATACATTAATTTTCTAAAATATATTGTATGAATATTATATTAGGTATTATATTAGGCAATAAATAGAACAATAACTGCAGCAGTTTTGGCCTGTGTGTCTTTCTTGGACACACTGACAATCAAGAGATAATAAAACACTGCTAGGAAGTCCTGATCAATTTCTCCCACCAGAGGCTGGAAAGGGAGGTTGCTAATCAGAAGTCCAGTGGTAGCCTCTGATTTCCTGGAGTGCACAGAACCAGGCCTGTAACCATGAGTTTTCTTCACAGTTCCAGTAGAGGACCCAGTATTGCGAGCCACTATGGAAGGCAGTCCTTTCCTGGGGTGCTTTTTACCACCTGTGGGTTTGAGGCCACTCTGCTTTGTAGGAGCCATGCTATAAGCACCTCCTTACTTGCCCTCCTGCTCCCTCTGCTGGAGCTCAGCAAGTGAGAGAAGGTGCTGGTGTTAGAGAGTAGCGCGGCTGCAGCTGCAAACACCCAAAATATTCCTTTATTGTAATCTAGTAAATATTCAAATACATGTGTTGATATTTACAAGCAGTCTTTTTGCTTTGGTAGAATGGACACAAAGCTCTTGAAGTTTACATTCATTGACGCTTACTTCCGTGTTAAACCACTTCCAACTTAGAAGAGTAGCACATAAAAATGGAATTTGACATTCCCAATATGTAAACATAATTCCAAATAGAGATTTTGTGAGATCCACAGGCAGGTTGTAAACGGTGACACTTAAAATTGACATTTTTTTGCCCACTGCTAGTCTTCCATCTCAGACACTGACACCCTGTTATGTACATTCAGCATTCTGAAAAGTGTCTGACACCTTGGTGGCAAATAACTATAATCGCAACACAAGAAGGCAAAGACAGATGAATCTATAAAGTGTGTTGTAGACAACCTGTTCTCAACACAGGGTTCAACTAAAGCCAGGGCCTCATGGTGAGACATTGCTCAGGCACAAAAGAAAAGAAAGGAAAAATATCTATATTTTGTGCTGACTTCTTAATGTGGCACCTGATAACCTGGAAATCACTGTAGGCTTAGAAAAGGCATTATAAAACAGTTACTGTTGGCAGTAGGCTCTAATCCCAGCATTTGGGAAGCAGAGCCAGGTGGATCTTGGGATTTCTTGCCAGCTTGGTCTACAGAGGGAGTTTAAGGATAGCTGGAATTACACAGAGAAACAATGTCCCCAGGTGTGGGGAAAAAGGAAGAAACAGAATACATTAAAATACACTATACAATTAGAAAGTATCTTTTTAAGAATTATGACAAGTCATTAACATTAGAAAACTATGTACAGGAGACTTTTGCTCCTTGGTCCAAGATAAGCACTATATCCACGGACACATGATCAATCAGTGTATATTCATTCTTGTGCCTGAGACTGAGCTCACAGTGTTGTTCTGTCTTGCTCAGGATTCAACATGTAGAACACACAAATGTGGACCTCAGAGAATTCTACCCCCTGTTTCTCCCAATTACTAGGATTAAAGGTATGCAGCAAAACAACTGTTCCAACTTGTGGTAATATTTTATTCATGCTCTAACAAATAAAGCTTGCCTGGAGGTAGAGTGTAGAGCTAGACACTAGTTGGCCATAGAGGCCGGGCAGTGGTGGCACACACCTTCAATCCCATCACTTGGGATGAGGAAACAGGAAAATCAGGTGATCAAGGCCACCCTGCTGTACCAAAGCTTGAACCATTCTAATAGAGAAACTGAGGTCACACCTTTAATCCCAGTAGTGGGGAGGTAGAGTCAGGAGGTGATGTGGCTGGGCAGAGAGGTATATAAGCAGGAAGAGAGAAGCTCAGAGCATTCAGTCTGAGGATTCCTAGAAACAGGTTCTCACTCCTTTGTTCAGAGGATTCAAAAAAGGTAAGAAGTCTTGCTAGAGGCTGGGTCTTTTACTTCTCTGATTTGTCAGCATTTATACTGATAACTGATGGGAGATGCCATTATGTATATATGTTTCTCATATTGGTTAATGAATAAAGCATTGTTGGCTAATAGGAAAGCAAGATAGGCGGGACTAGGAAACAAGGAGGAAAGAGGAAGTAGTAAGGAGGAGTCAAGATGGAGAGTCTGGGGAGACGAGATACTGGCCCCTTTCCCGGGTAAGAAGACCACGTGGAAATATTAGATTAACAGAAATGGGTTAATACTTAAGACAGAGCTAGCCGATAAGAAACAAGTAACTGGCCAACAGAGTTATATCATATACAGAGTCTCTGTGTGTTATTTGGGGCTGGCATGGTGGCTGGACAAGACCAGGCGGCGGGCAGAAAAGCCGTACTCCTTACAGATAACTGTCTCTGGGTTTATAGGAATAATTGGTATTCTGGCTACAAAACCTGTTGAGTTTTATTTTGTGGTCTGTTGCCTGCCAGTGGTGTAACTGTGGGCTTTTCTCAGGAGGAAGGTCGAGGCCTGCAGCCTGTTTACAGGGCTTTGTACTGGGATAGGATGTTAAGGGATGCAGCAGACTGGTTAGTGTGAATGAGAATAGTTTGTTCCTTCTTGGTGTCTCTTGGAAAATAGTTCCCCAAGAGTGTTTCCCCTTGGGAGTTGTAAGACTTTCACCAAATTTGGTCCATGGTAAATTCATTGACATAGTCTTTTAATGTTTGTGATCCCAGTCAATCAGATCTGTTTCTGCTTCTTGGATTTGACTGAGAAGTGATTGGAAGTGGCATTCAAGTTGCATTCAGGGAAAATGCTTTCTAGGTATTTTCAGTATTGTGACTCTGCATGACCATGGGAAATCACTTGTAGAATCCTGTATCTTTATCTACTGAATGTAGTGCTGACTGCCTGAGTCAGTCCATGCTGGCTTCCCAGCTATCAGTCTGGTGGCCCGTTAGCTCCTCCTTGTTCCTGTAAGCTGTCTCTATGTGTTTCTGCCACCTGGTCTTGTCCTCTCCCTCTGCATCTGAG